TCATAATGGGAAAAAATTAATTAAAAAATAAAAAGAATAAAAATAAAAGAATAAACATAGTTAGACCATGGAGCACCAGGATGGCTCAGTGGTTGAGTTTCTGCCTTTGGCTCAGGTCATGTTCCAGAGGTTCTGGGATCGAGACCCACAACAGGCTCCCTGCAAGGAGCCTGTTTTTCCCTCTGCCTTTGTCTTTGCCTCTCTGTGTCTCTCATGAATAAATTAATTAAAACTTTAATATTAATATTAATTAATAACTAGACCTAAAATTTATAGATTGTAAAGTAATGGGTAATTTTAACTCCTTGAAATTATAACTAATTGTTTAGTTTTACTCAAAATATTCAATTTTTAATATATAATTATGTATATATAAATTTATGAAATATAATTAAGCTAGGTTTGGAAAAATTCACATAAATATTTAACATGAGGGTGCCTGGGTGGCTCAGCTGGTTAGGTCACGATTCCAGGGTCATGAGATTAAGCCCCACATTGGTCTCCCTGCTTAGTGAGGAACCTGCTTCTCCCTCTCCCTCTGCCACAACCGCTGCTTGTGCTTGCTCTCTCTCCCTCTCTGTCAGATAAATGAATAAAATCTTTAACAAAATTAACATTAAAAAAGCAAATGAATGAAATAGACATATAGCTCAAAAACTGGACAAAGTTCTTAGCAAAATCATTGAGTTTTTAACCCAGAAAAAAATTATTGCCTACATAAATATATTAATAAATTAGAACAGATAAAAATGAATGATTTTAAAATAAATACAATGGCATAGTCTTTGGAAATACAGGAATGCCTAGTTAAATTTTCCATCTATTACTGAACAACAAAACAAAATATATAATCCATCAAATACACGTTCAATGAGTAAAACACAAAATTCATCATTTAGAGTGAATGCAGTATGTATTTTATAAAGTGCAATATAGTTTATATTTTATGTGTATTCTTTAAAAGAAATATTTTCCATGCATATGTGCTAATTTATTTAATACACTACTAACAGATATGAAGTTATTTTTATGCTTGGCTATTACAAAATTTATATTTGGAATACTTCTATATAATGCATTTCTTGAAATGTGATTACTAAGTCTTAAATGAGTATTAAAGAATTGGCAGCTAGTGACTAGGATCCTCAGTATCACAATTAAAATATATCCCCAAATAAAGTATGTTAAATTACCTACTTTCTCTAACATTCTCCTCAACTTTCCATATCTTTGCCAAGCTCATTGGGAAAATGTGTCATTTTATATAGATTTAATTTGTGATTAATTTTTTGATCCTTTTCACTTACGATTTTTTGATCTGTTAGGTACCTTTCTACCTCACTCTGTAAGAATCCATCACGCTGCGTATTTATGACTTGTCTACTTTTCCTTACAAATGTTTGTGACATGGGACACCTGGGTGGCTCAGCAGTTGAGAGTCTGCCTTCCACTTGGGGCATGATCCTGGGATCCAGGATCAAGTCTCACATCGGGCTCACTGCAAGAAGCCTGCTTCTCCCTCTACCTATGTCTCTGCCTCTCTGTCTCTGTGTCTCTCTCATGAATAAATAAATAAATCTTTAAAAAACAAAATAAAACAAATGTTTGTGACATTTATCTGCATTGCAAATATATAGTTCATTCATTGCATTGCTGCCTAGTATTCCACAATTGACTGCTCCATGATGCTATTAATGAACAGTTATAATCTTCACTAAGATGCATTAATACAAATGCATTATTTGTTCTTAATTCCCTCTTCAAATATTTTAAACAGTACAATTGAATTTTAATTGACATTTATAGTAATAGTCATTATAATAACATTTTATTTACTTATATTTTCTGTACTAGTATTATTTTAAGTTTGTGCCTATTGTAGTGGCAATAGTGTTGTGTTACTATTTTATTGAGGTGGAATGGAAGAAAGAACAGTGGTTAGGGAACAGGCTGCCCTAGCTTTCATAAGGGGGACTGTCTTTAGGTTTTACACAATAAAAGAATTCTTCCTGAAGACTTTCAATAAATATAAAGATGGAGTAAGAGCTATGATTAAATAGAATAATAGTGCATAATAGTTTTGGTTGTACCTTTAGGATAGTGCTTCCCTTAGGTTCCTATCAAGTGTTGTATATGTATTCTCCTTCATTTTATTGACTACCAGACCTACAGGTTTTTTTTGTTTGTTTTGTTTTGTTTTGTTTTGGTGTGGTTGGTTTCCTCTTTTTCTTCTTTTTTTTTTTCCTCACAGAGGCTGCCAGGATATTTATTCCTTTTCCTCTAATAAATACCAAAATATCATAAGATTAGCCATCATCTTATCCATCTGCACTATCCTATTGACACTAGTGTGTGTGTGTGCATGTGTATATATTATCATCTACTGTATCACCTCCAAGATCATGATTTAAAACATTTAAATACTATCTTCTTCCATTTATCAAAATTACTTATTCCAGTGTTCTGCATCCTTTCTCCAGAATTATTCTACCACTACTTTGGGACAATGAGACTACCATCTTTTAAATGTTAGTGCATCTATCATTTCTTCCTTTTCTCTTTATGCAACATAAAGATAGTGGTTTCTAATTCTTTAGTCACTTTCCATATCTCTTATGCTTGACTGTCAAATTTCTAACTCTGATTGCAACCAAATTATTTCATGTTCATTGACTACATCCAAGGAGGATAACCTGATTTCAGAACAAGTAAAACAGATAAGCTCATTGTTTTCCTTCTAGGTGAACTGAGATTCTCATACATCTCAAATGGTTTATTACTTCTGTTAGGCAAATCTATTTTTTCCCTAGTCAATAAACTCTCTAAAACTCCCAGGATGTCCATTTTCTCTTATTCCATCTCTAACATCTCCTCCCTTCCAAACTGCCACCTATTTTACAGAAAATAAAGAGACTAAGAAAAGAAAAATTCATTTTCTTTCAAAAAGTATTGAAAAGTCAACTCACCTGCCTCTGTCCTTAATCCTGCTTGAATTCCTGTTACAGAAGATTTGTCACTGCATTATTTTTCATCCCTACACAACATTCATCTCAAAGCCTTTGTGAATAATGGCAAAAGGGACATAACATCCTCTCAGATGCTTATGTTGATACCCTTTGCAAGGGCAAATAAAGAATTAATCTTGGTTAACTTTCAGCATAGTACTTCCCAAACTGTTATTAATTAGCAATAGAAAAATAATAACAGACACCAGTGAAAAAAGTTATTGCCAGTAATGAGGTAAATAAAAATCATGCTCACCTGCAATCATGCTCGGAAAAGGACACAATATTACATCTTTGGCATTTCTTCCAAAAATACACAATCTGAATCTAATCCTGATGAAACATAAGACATATATAAATTGAAGGACATCTTACAAACTATCAATAGCAACAATAGCAACAAAAGACTAAAGAAACATCAGAGTGAGAGAGTTTGAAGAAAAATAATTAAATAAAAGGTAAAATCCTGGAGTAAGTCTAGGACCATATTTTTTTTTTCTTTTGCCATAAGTGACTTCAGTGGGACAATGGAAAAAATTTGACTAGGGTCATTGTGTTATATATTAGTATTATATCAATGCTAATTTCTTCATTTGTATAATTGCATTATGGTTAAAAAAACATCTCTATTTTTCCACCTCTTATTCATAACTAAGAAAGAAAATTTTAAGCACTTTGTATTAGATTCAGAATACACTAAGATAGTAATAGAAAAGTCAACTTGTGGGACACCTCAGTGACTCAGTGGTTAGCATCTGTCTTCTGCTCAGGGCATGATCTTGGAATCCAGGGATCCACATTGGGCTCCATGAATGGAGCCTGCTTTTCCTCCCTCTGCCTATATCTCTCCCTCTCTCTGTGTCTCTTGTGAATAAATAAATAAAATCTTTTTTAAAAAGTCAACTTGTTTGCTGCGGTATGTAAAGGTTGACCTGAATCTGTGCAACAAGATGCATGCAGATATCAACATTCGTAATTCTCTTGTAGTTCATTTTAAAACCATTTACTGAAACTTTCAAACATATGGTTTTAAATATGCATATTTTATATAGAAAATTGCTTGAAGCATTTCCGTGTTCCTTGAATAACCATTATGTTTATATGCATAAACCAGGAAAGGTCTAATTGCTATTTGCATGGATTATTTACAGCTAAGTGGTCTATGAAGAAATGAGAGTCCATAAAAATGCTATTGTGTATGAAAACCAATCTGTGTTGCTCATTTTAATTGGGTATGAGAATATTGGTTTATAGATTTAGAAACAGTCTTATAAATGTTTCTCACAAACAGAACAAAGGTTATAGAAGTAATCTGTTGACTAAATGTTTTAATAAACTTTCTAACTGAATGTTTCATTTTCACAGAAAAATGGGTTTCCTGTCTCCAATAGATCTATCACTGAAAATACAAATATGCATTTTTAAAGTCACTAAGATGCCACTTCTGTGTTGAATTGACTTGTCATTTTATCTGACATTGTTGTAATAATTAAACACATCTAACATTTGTGGCCACGAGGGAGTGATACTGGCTTTTTGCTTGTTTTGTCTTTTGTTTTTTGGTGAAAATAACTGAAGTATTTAAAAATATAGAAAAGACTAATAATATACAGCTACTTATCCTAAGGTATTCACCCTCAAGGAGGGTAGAAGACAAAATAACTACACTTTATTTATTTATTTATTTATTTATTTATTTATTTATTTATTTATGTATTTATTTATTTATTTATCTTGTTTCAATGGTAAAAACAAATGATTCTATTCCACTCTTTAACCTGAACATCAAAAGTTGTAATGGCTCATGCTATAAATTATGGAAGTCCTAAAAAAAATTATGGAAGTCCTTTATTGCATATCGGGCGTAAAATCTTAGTCTAGTCATGATTCTTTTTACGTTTTTATGCTCCACCATTCTTTCAAAGGGAAAGTAAGTAATATATTCTGGAGTAAGATGTTTCTCACTGCTCCATAGGGACTAACAATGAACTAACAATGAACATCCAGGAGGATGTTCAATCCCAAAAGCATCAGCCAGTGATATTAATCTGCAGAAAATGTCATACAGAGAGTGAAATAAAATCTAGATATCCAATTGAATACAGAGAATGTGAATACATAGTAATATACAAGAGAAAGACTAAAATTGTGGTGGTTTCTGATGCTCAGTGAAGTATTTGGCATTCTTAATAAAGCATTTGGAATATCTTAATTTATGTTTAAATTTGCCATTAATGTTTCTCATTGTTGTGTATGCTTTGATTAGCATGCTTCCCTTAAAATTAAACTAAATGCACATAATTTTATTTCATTTTAAAAACCATATTTTAGATACTATTCATATTTCACATTAATAAATTATTTATATCCAAGTATATGATTTACAATTTTACTTCATATATAATGTCAAAGACAATGAAAGTTAAAATTGCTTCCCCACACCAAGATTTTAATCAAAACCTATAATTATCTGGGGGTCTTTCCAAAAAAGTAGATTTCTAGGGTCTTCTAAAGGCTTACTCAGTAATTAAGTAAATGCCTTGAAAATTATTGTTGCACATTACCAACTCTTTGTCAACTCTCTGGTATTATTTGATGTGGAGTACACCAACATACTTAGCGTATGTGTACATACCTAATTTTGAGTCCTATTTTCATTTGTTTGTTGATGTAGGCCTTTATGTATTTCAACATAAGTTTTCACAATTTTTAAAAATTTGGCAGAGAGAAGAGAAACTTGAATATTTTTGTTCTATAAGGTAAAATTAATCTTAAGAAAAGTGTTAAACAGATTATTAAGGCAGGTGCAACTTTCTAGGTGTAATCCTATGTGAAACTCAAAAGTTCTGCTTTCAGGATATAAAAAGATTTAGAATTGATTTACACTTAATTGATGGATAAGTACTGATTTTTTTGTCTTGATTTTAGGGATATGGTACCAATGATCAAAAATATGTTTCATTTGTTCTTTGATTTCATCAGTATGGGATGTCATGTTCGCCTCCCTAACATTTATTTTAAAGATTAGATATATTTTAACTTTACTAATAGCTAAGATTTGTCTAATTCAAAAAAGTATCTATGCTTACTTTTTATTTTTTTTAATATTTTTATTTATTTATGATAGTCACAGAGAGAGAGAGAGAGAGAGGAGAGAGAGAGAGAGAGAGAGAACAGGCTCCATGCACCGGGAGCCCGACGTGGGATTCGATCCCAGTTCTCCAGGATCACGCTACGCCCTGGGCCAAAGGCAGGCACCAAACCGCTGCACCACCCAGGGATCCCCTATGCTTACTTTTTAAGAACTTACTACTATCATAGTTTCCTAAGTTTTTCAAAATTTTTACATGCTATATGAAATACTATGATGTTCAGATTTTTAAAGAGTGCTTCATTGGTTCAGGTTTTCTTTTATCTGTGGCTTTCATAATTTTCTAATTCTGCTATATTTCTTTTTGACCTTGACCTTTTTAGGCAGGGGAGCCCCAACATATATCTTTCTCTTTTCTTTTAATATTTATTTATTTATATGAGAGAGAGAGCACTCAATGGCACATGTGAGCGGGTCTAGGGGGAAGGGGAAGAGCATAGCAAGAGTGACAGTGATAGAATCCCAAGCAGACTCCCCAGGGAGTGTAGAGCTGGACATGAGGCTAGATCTTGCAACCCTGAGACCACCATCAGAACCAAAACCACGAGTCCATCATTCAACATACCGTGCCACCCATGGTGCCCTGATATCTCTTTACAATAGTCCCATAATTAAGTAAATCACAACTCATTGGATACTATAGTTATAATTTTAACTTTTAATTTGGTCATACGTCCTTTACATATCAATAGTTAAACTAAATATTTTTATTTGATTAACTAGATAGAAAGGTTTAATGGAAAACTATTATTACTGGAACTCAAGATCACTATTATCATTCAATGACTCAGATCTTTGGGTTCCATTCATCTACAGAGAGGAAATGATTTTACTCTTACCTATGTGGACAGTTTTGAGAAAATAGTTATAAAATTGCTAGATTATTTTAGAGTGGTGCTCTATACATATGAAAACAAGTGAATTTGAGCTTGAAGCTAGCACATATATCATCTCCTAATACGCTGTTAGGAACAACTATGGACATTATGAAAAGGCTGACCACATTCATGGAAAAGCACTAAATAAAGATGGACTCAAATCCAGACCTATCACTCATGATTTGCCAGTTCACTTCATTTCTTTTAAGTTAAGCTTTATTATCAAATTGGAAAAATTATGAGGATCAGCACATGAAGGTAACAGTTCTTTTAAAGAAGCTATCTTTAGAGATTGAAGTTATAAAAAATTCAAGTATAGCAGGTGAAATGAAAAATGAGCAAGCCATTTCTTGTATAAAAACAAGCTGTCTCCTTACATATCCATCCCTACGCCACAAACTTCCTCCTAGAATAAGGTCTATGTAGAAAATTAGTCAAAGTTATATGGCATTTGAGCAGCAGGCTGAAGGATGAGAAGGAGCTGGCCAGAGAAAAACAAGGGGAAAGCATTCCTGAAATAGAGAAAGTAGATAGTTGAAGGGTTCTGGAGCAGAAAGTAAGCTTGTCTTATTCCCACTTCAGAATGAAGCCCATGTGACAAAACTGCATGGGAGGGAAATTGGGAGGAAATGAGGTGCCCTTGTAATGGGAAACCACTGGAACAGTAAGCAAGAAAGAGAGTAAAATAGTTGAAGACTTAAAAGACACACACACACACAAATAAATGGTAACTATGTGAGGTGATAACTATGTCTATTACCTTAGTTTTGATAATTATTTCATAATCCATACATGTATCAGAACATTGAATTGTATACCTTAAATAATATACATTTCTGCCAATTTTGCCTTAATAAAACTAGATATAAATTTAAAACGACTGCTCTTGGCATCTATTTTCTTTAATTCTGATTATTTATTTATTCAATAAATATTTACTGAAGTCTTATGTAACACGTAAAGTACTGTGGTAGGTCATGGAGATGCAACCCGGAATGAGACATATCTGTACCCTTGTTAAGAAGTTTATAGATTGCTAGACAAAATAAATGAATAAACAGGATATTTGAATAAACACATAAACAGAGAGTATGTGCATATAGCTGAGGACACTCTTGAACTCTGCTTTGTTATTTTGCCCTTTTTTCATTCACCATTCCAGAAATCCACATGTATCTTTACTATTAAGGAATGAAAAGAACCAAAATTAGTAAGTCATGTGAAGATAGATGCTAGAGGAGAAACAAGCTGAGCCAATGCCGGTCTATTCCTTATATAATTTTTAATTAATTATTTAGTTGGCTAATTAATTAAATTAGAGAAGAGGGGAAGAGGAGAGGGAGAGGAAGAGGGATCATCTTAAGTCGACTCCATGCCCAGCACAGAGCCGGACACCAGACTCCATTTCAACAGCCTTGAGGTTATGACTTGAGCCGAAATCGGGAGTCCAACACTTAACTCACTGAGGCACCCAGAAGCCAAATTTTATAGTTTTTAAAAACAACTGCTGCTCTCCCTGGTATGAAAAAAAAAGTGTAATTATAGCTGTATAATTACAGTACAAAAGCAGTATAATTAACGAACAAAAGGGAATCTGACTATGCAAAGAAGAAGGAAACGATAAATTTGGAATTAAGATCTAAGGTTTCTGAAAAAAATATATTTGTTTTGATATGAATGAGAAATTCAACTGGAATAATATTAGTTGGAAAATAACATACCTATTACTGAAAGTTAAATCTAAACTAGCCAAATTCCTTATACTATTTAGAGGACTAATATATGATATGTCATAATATTCCCACACTCAATGCATATTTCATAACCTGTATGCAAAGAGAGATCACTATTGAGATATTTTGCTTACGAAATAATATAGAACTGTTATGAAATGAAAGGTGCTATATATAAGTTGCTTCCATGTGCAGATTTGGCTCTCTATTCAGCTACTCTCAATGGGCATTACTTATATCTGTATCATACAGATAAATCATTATGAAATAGGGAGATTAGCTTCAATGAGAGTGTTATATTATCTAGTAATTTTCTTCTCTAAGATGATTTTAAGTTTATTCTTCTTAATTTAAAAAAGTCAAATGTATGCATCATGCAATTAGCATATATGTAAATATAATATTTTACAATACCATATATTAAAATACTTATAAATTAAAATGACTAACATAATTCCTGATGTTTTAATAGAACAGTTTATACAGGAGATTTGGTACAAAGACTCAATGGTTAGTAGGAATGGATTCTTCGAGCTGCATAATAAAATTTACACTAAATTTTGAGGTACTTAAACAGAACTCAGGCAGCTAAAATTGTATTATCAAGTAATATACATAGAAACTCTGAAAACCTACATAGGATGAACAAGAATTCAGAATAAAAATCTAAGCTCTATTTAAATTAAAGTTGGGAGATTTAAGTTTGGGAGTCATCACGATGCTAGTTAAAGGCATAAAACAGAATAAGATCACAGCACAAAAATCGAGGTCACTTTCTCAGTAGTCTTAGACTATGGATCAGTTCTTTTCTCTTGTATAAACATCTATCAAGATGTTTTACAATGGCTTTTAAGCAAATAATAAAATGTTTTATGGTGTTGGATGGCCATTCTCCATGACATTTTTTTTTTTTTTTTACGTCTTAGGATAGCTTTTGTCCTGTACTATATTTTCAAGGATGTTTATATAGGAGACATGCCTGGAATGTGTAGATAAGTTTACCTCCAAGGAAAGGGAAGAATTTTTTCCTGACTAGGAAAATAAAGGTAATGTCTCCCTATGGGGCCACGTTCAGACAGATTTGTTGGCAATCCTTTTATAAGATTAGAGGTTTTCCATGAATGCAATCCCTCAGCTGAAACACAAACAGTGTGGAGAGTATCCAACTGATCCATTCCCTGGTACTCCATGTGGGATTTAGGTTGCAAAGGAAACTCATGTGAACTTAAAAAAGGTCATGCTGCTTGCTGTACAATGAGTAATAAATTCTTTTGTCTCTGATTTAGGAATCTCATGTCTTCTGCCAGCATCTATGACACTGTATCAAGCTAACTTGTAAGTTTCCGAATAGCTAAAATCTCAGACTTATCATAGTTCTTAATATACATGACCTATTGTTCTCTGAAAGTT